TCGGAAGAGACTCAAGCCACCTTGGCGGCTCTGGACGCTATGAGAAAGGCTCACGAGCACGAGGTACAGAAGGAAATAGCTAAATTTAAGCAAGAATTCGTTAAACAAATGCAGGCACGCGAGGACATTGGCGTGCTTCACAAAGAACACGAGTACGTAATCCGTTCCAACGATTTTCTCTCTTTCCTCGGTATTCCCATTAACCGAATACCACTCGTTAATCACTCGTTACCCGTTTGCAGGGAAGAGATGGAGGAGATCAAGCAGGAAATCCTTTCGTTATCCGCAAAGTACTCCTCGAAGTGCGTAGAGTCTGCGGCTTTGGAGGAGAAGGTAGGATCCCTCACCAAGCAGCTTGCACAAGCGCAACAACACATTATGCAACTGGACGTGAGGAATAAACAATTGAGGGAGCATTTGGTGTTGGAAACGAACGACAGCACGATAAACGACACCATGCACATGTTGAGGGGCAGAGACAACGAGATTGCCGAGCCGAGGGAGGATATTCATCGACTGCAACAGTTGAAGGTAATTTCTCGCAGCTACCTTCGCCATCAACCTGCCCCGTTTACAGCGTAGATGTGGTTAACAAATGTACGATACTAAATGATTAACCCCGCCGCAATTACATGTTATGGCGCAGTCCCTTACGAGCTTACAGCGATACTCTCCACGATGTTTCGACGCTCGATCGTCGAACGTGCTCGAGAAAACGCTTTCGGATAACGAAATCCAGACTGACAATTGTAAATACATAGTAGTCACAAGCTAGAAACGAACTTAGGTACAGCAAGGCTTCTGTGTTCGCAGGCTTCACCCGATCACGAATAATTTAACCCCCGGTCGGTAGAGTGGGGCCAGAAAAGCACGTTGTACCTTTTCTCTTCCACTCTACGCTCATTCGCAATTTTCTCAGCCATTCGAGAAAGGAAAAGACCTGTTCGCTTGAAACTCATCGTGATTCGTAATGGCAAAAATCACACCTACCCAGCTCAGTCACGTAACCAAAATACGGTACATCTCATCTCTCGAATCGTGGGTTAATATCGAGTAACACGTAACAGTAGCGAAAAAGCATAAAAGGCATAAAATTAAAGCTGCAAGAAGGGTCACCGATCACGGACGTTTTACTGTACCAATCGAGCCTCGTAAGCTCGTAAGCCCATAAGGTGTAATTGTCCACACTGATTGCCCCGGCGCGCACCGATCTCTAACGATCGTGTTAACCCACCACATACCGGCCGCACTGACGCATTATATTTTCGATATTTCACTAACAGCATGGGGAGGCCCCTCGTGATACGTCCGGTGTGCCATCGAAATCTCCGTCGCTAAGCTACTCGCCGCAGCGTGCCCGGAGTAGTCACGAGCCGCTGCTGAGAGCGGCGAGCAGCGAGGAGCAGAGAACGACCGGCGAACGGCCGAGAAGCTCGCTGTCCACGTTGCAAAAGAGCACGCCGGACAAGCAGGCCGCGTTCTCGTACAAGCTTGAACGCGTTAAGTCGGTGTCGTTGCCTTACTCGAGTAACTTGGTTAGGCCGGGCAGTAGTTCTGGCGTGCCGTCGCACGACAGGAAAGAGGTGAGCTTAGGGCAAAAGAGCCAGGAGCGTAACGGCCTGGCATCGCCGCTGTGGGACAGCCTGAGACCGAGGAGCGGACTGCCCCATCAGTATCAAGGTACAGAAGAAAGGTGAAATGGAAGGAAAAAGATACAAGCGAATGAGGAAGCCGATGAAAAGACGCTTCTGGTGGATCGCCGCCGTTTCACGATCCTCCTCCTCCTTCTCGAACTCGTTTCTGCTTCTCTAAAAAGCATAGTAGCTGCATTCGACTTGGATGTTCGCGCGTTTAATGGACATCGAGTCGACTTTGTCTCGTTGCTTTTTCTTTCGATCATTCTTTCAAGCGTTCACTGTTTGATGGACTTTTGGCATGCTCAGGCCTTCGTCTTTCTGTTTTTCTATTTTCCAACGAGGAATGACTCGCGAACGAGGCTTCTGAAATTGTTTGTCGAACGAAGAGACATGGGAAACGTAAGACTAACCGGGTGCTTTAGCCTAGAAATTAACCGCTTCGAGGAAATTAATTCTATTAACGATAGTTAACGGGTGTTCGTCGTCGAGACTAATCGATCGAAATTCATAACGATTCGCGCGTGTGATCGCGTTGTTGTGCAATAATCGTTTTGTTATTTACATGTGTAACGCGTCGATGAGGTTTGGTATGTTCGCGCGGATCATTTTGTCCGGCTTTCCTCCACGAGTATTCGCCATTTTGGTTCCACGAGTATGCGTCTGCCGATCGCTGTTACGTCCAGCGTGATACCAAGCGTAATACATTAACATTACTCGAAGGTTGTCTAACCAAATTGCTAACAAGAGACTTTTAACGGTGTAACGCAAAGTAACCCTGCCTTCTCGTGAATGTGATTTTGTACTCCTTGGATGTCTAATCTGTGCGCATAATAATTTCCATTGTATCATTAACAGGTTTCGGAAGCGCGCGGAATGGAACGGTCTACCATAGAATTTTTAGAAACCGACCCTTCCTAACCACACTTTTTCCACTTTCTTACCGGAGATCCTATTTTTGCAACCTGCAGTGTACACCAGCCGGAATGCCGAGCTTCTACACAGGTTCTCCGCGTGCTTCCGAACACCAGCATCAAACTGTGCGATTATAACTGTAAGAGTAACGTCGCTTCACACTATTGGGAACATATTAGGTGTATAAGGATATCATTAAGTCCTCTATTCTGACCGTCATATGTATCGTTTAGAAGTGATTAATGGACGTCGGTGATAGCGTAAGACTGATTGAGAAAGCATGATTTCTGGGCCCGTTCGCGGCTCCTCCGTGTTCCTTAGGATAATTAGAAAACGTGATAATTAAAAGTGTCTACGAGCAAAAGCAAAATTGCGAACTATCGTGGAACCGGGTAAGAGGCTCAGAAATCATTCTACGATTATAAGAAACATCCCACGAAACGCTCCTTTCTCGATACTCCATGTTGGTCCCAACATCTCATTCTTTCCCCGGAACGATTCGTGATTACGTGATATTGCAAGATAAATGAACGAAGCAGGTGTAGTAGAATAAGAAGGGGAAAGTATACGCGAGAACGGATTGTACAAACGGGATAATCGTATTTCGACAATTGTATTTCACACGAAAGGTGGCACAGCAGAGGTGCGAGTCGACGGCGCCGGCGGCGGCTGGCAGAGCAGCAACAAAACCGAAAAACAGCAACACTCGGAGGCATACGGCTTCCGTGCCGACAATCCTCGCGCGTCCCGCCTCACCCCGGAACCCCCAGCTCTCTCCGTTGCAGGTCCGTTCTCTTCTTTGCCAATTAAGGAGAATCTTTCACCGAATTCATCGCCGACACACTCCACCGATCTGTTTTCTGTCGACACGCTTCCTATCCGCACTTCGTTTCACCTCTCTTCTCTTCGTTTCCTCCACACACTCGCCTTTATCTGCGCTCCGCCATCTTAGATGCTTAAATTAGTTCTTTATTAGATCCTCGCTCGCAGGTTCCTTTACGTGTGCTCGAATTTTTAGCCTCGATCATTCCCAGTGTGCCTGGTACGCTTTTCGCCAGTTCAAACTCGTGTAATTGTTCCGAAAGCTTGCAGTGCTGTTAACGATGCGATCGTCGATACACGTAGACGAACCTGGCCAGTGGCTGTGTATGTACATACCGTTCCTCCTCTACTTCAGTTTGCCTTGGTACACCAGCCTCCATCTTCCATTTCCACGCGCGCTTAGTGTTCGGGGGTGGCAAGGGTGAAAGCGAAGCGAAGACGAACAGGGACGAGGAATAAAATAGAATTCTGTTTGCAGAGCTGATGAGGTCTCCAGCAGTGAGGTGGTCCAGCAGAAGTTGTCGCAGCTTGCCTCCAACGCCCACGCCGAGTTATCATCACCCGCTCCACCCCCCACTGCCAGCGGTGGGCATGGTCGCCGAGAGGAAGAAACGTTTCGAGCTCTGAATTGCTAATCACGGGTATACCATCGAGTCATCCGGGGACGATTCAGCGTAGCGATCATCAAGCACGACACACGCCATCCACGATAACTCGCTGAATATCACGCAAATTAATTCGCACGTACGATTGTCTTCGAATGGTGCTACACACATACACTGGTTGCTCGTTCTTAAGTCTTCCTCGAGAGAAGACACATAGATTTCGACTTATACATTGTCACCCGTGAACGAATAGCATTTTTCTTGCATTTTATTCATTTTCTTTGATATTCCGAATCATTTGTTAATTATTTCCGGTTTGTTCTCTGTTTTTTTTTTTTTTTTATGTTTCTCGTTGACAGTTTATACAGGCATCTCGTCACTGCCATAGCAAATAGAGCTTCGACGGTAGAATGGAGCAATGTTCGTGTCAATTAATACGATCGCCCGGGATCGTGCTCGTCGTAACGTAACGATATTGAGCATGTTTATCAAGTAAACATGATTCAATAGCCGAAACGAGGCTCTGGTCCCGCGCGAGGCTCGCGAGTTCTGCTTTTACGGTTGGACGCCTATCAGCGCGTGATAGGTCGTTTTCGAAGGGACTGTCTTTCTTTTTCGATCACACCGATCGAATTTTTACTGGGTACCATTTACACAGGCCGCCTCTTTCGACAGGGGCGGTCGTTTGATACGCATTTAGGCTTTCGATACGTGAACTTTTTCCCGTAGGACCGAGTAGTAGTCGTTTCGATCGACTTTCGCGAACGACGTGCGTTTCTGGGGCATTATTTCAGCTATCTGCCGTTTCTCGTCGCTTTGTCGATAATTATAATTATAATTGCCACTGCGGCGCAATCGAGGTATCTGTAATTATCAACGTAATTTGCCTCTCCTGTTCCCATTTATATACGAATCCGTTTCATATTCACCGACCGAGTATATCGATACTAATGGGCTTGAAATTGATATTGAAACTTTTTGTTGATGACGGGAAACGGCATAGAAAGCGGCAGATGCGAGAAAAAGTACAGTAGAATGTCGATTATTCGCAGGTATTGTCGGTAATTAAATTGACAGGATATTATTCGTTTCGGGCGCTCGAATACAGGAATCTCTGAATACGTTTGTATTAGCTAGACCGGAAATCCGGATAATTAACAGTCTACCGTACTCTTGAGTCATGTATACAGTCGTCGTGGTAGTTAACGCAATGTAACGCATAGGTGTATCGGTGTGAAAGTGTATTGACAAATAATTCGTCAAGGTCGTTGCGTTTACGTTTTAATAAAAAGAGAAGAAAGGAAAAAGGAATGATTTCGTACAATCATGGGATTCGTTGTTCGCCATCTTGTGACTTTACGAGGGGGCTAATTTTAATCGACGATCGGCTCAAAGTTCGTTTTCTAGGGAGGCTTCGATTACTTTTTTTTTTTTTTCCATTTGTTGACACGTTGTTCGTGGCTATTATTATTATTATTATTTTTTATTTGTTTTGTAAAGACGATTAGCGTGTTAAAGCGATAAAAAAGAAAAAAATAAACGACGAGGTTTCGTCGCGGCAAGAGAAGACAAGGGACGCAAGATATATTCTTTTATTTCTCTCTTATTTTCTTCACGGTTCCCCTTCTCTTTCTTTTCTCTTCGCACTGTTTCTCGTTAATTCTTCGTGATCGAAAATATTTGTACGCTTGTTTCGCTCTTGTTATGTATAGATTCTGCACATAATTGAATATAATACGGCGTTGTCACGTTGCACTGTGTATTACCGCATTCTCTCATTGTGTAAATGTTTTTGTCGGATCGCGATATTATCATTTTTTTGATGTTAATACTGTATAGTTTATGACGTTTTCAATTTAAGGAGCAAGAAAGTATAAATAGCCTAGAATTAACCCCTTCCATATCAAATGGATTGTTTATATTATATGTTATTATTATTGTATTCTATATTATATATTGTCGCGATTCGTTCCAGTGAGGATGTCGCTTGACATCTTTACCGATGTCAAGGAAAGCGAATTACAACAACAAAAAAAAGAAGAGGATTATCGATAACAATACGATTCACATTATCTCTTATGTAGAGTAATTACTCAGGATTGTTTAACATTTATAATATATTACGATTATACTTATTGTATTTGTATTATAATTTATAATAACGTTTGAAATAAAATATAGTAACCATTGACGTGAATATCCGCTTAAGGAATCTGTTCCTTTTACATTCTACTTTATCTATTGAACAAGATAAATCGAACTTATTAAAAGTTTACTGAAAGAATGCTTCAAATATGTAGAATTACAAGGCTGTGACTCTTGGCACCGTTTGTATTAACGCGCGCATTTAACAGCTGTAATTAACGCGCATGCGCGCAGTTAACGGTTATAATTAATGCGCATGCGCGCATTTAACGGTTATAATTAATGCGCATGCGCGCCGACTTGAACAGATACGTCGAGCGGTTTCAAAGATCAGTGCGTAGCTAATTAGTTCATTGCGTGTTCATATAAATTTATGTACATAAATTCAGTTACTTGCCACACATGGAGCCCTTATTCCAGTTACACGTCGAGGACATCGATATGTTGCTGCTGAACATGAAGGAGAGATTGATGTTGCACGACGAATACTCCCAAGTACGTACTGTATTCAAAATTCCTACGAATAGCCTTCGATGTATGACACTTTTCGAATGGGTTCTGAAACATTTATTATTCGAACTCCATATGTTGTTAAACTCCTTAAACGTCTTTGAAATTATTAATTTCTCGATTAAAGTATATATGTATATGAAGGAAGTAGCCTTTCATATACCTGTTGTGTAGTGCGATGAATTGAGATAGGATTTCCTTCGAAAATTTGCAGTTCATTTTGAACAAATTTATATCGATATATAACAATCGTTCTATAGTCGTTATTAAAAGTGGTAGTATAAATACGGGTTAGAATAAAGATAAGAATAGAAGAATCGAGGAAGAACACAATGAGAAATTTCGTAGATCACGTGCATCGAAAGAATATCCAAGCTATTCAAAAGTGGTGGCGCTGCGAGCAAAGAGGCGGTACTTTCAAAGTTGATCAAGTTCGACGTTCTCTCGACTATATTCGAGCTTCTACAAACTCTCAGCGAGCGTCTTCTTCCGTAAGTCCCGTACTAAATATCGACTATAAGAGGACCTAATAATCCTGGTTAAAACTTCTTTCGCACATCTTGTTAATAGAAATATCCTCGATTTCCTGAGCATGGTTATCGTGTATCGAAAGTTTTACGAAAGTCACGTGGCCACCGATGCAGTGGACTCCATTCTGAAGGTTACAGTTTGCATTCTAAAGGCTCGTTGTAAGGAAACCCAGTTGCTGGAGAAGCTTATTTCGATCATCTACGATATTCTGCACAGGTGAACGATTTTCTGATAAAAGAAAATATAATTAAAATTGCTCGACAATTTTATCAAACAACGTATCACTATCGAGTGTAATAATTTTTAGAGCAGTAGAATTTAACGTGGATTTCAACTTAGTCTGTGTCCCGCGACAAGTACTGATCCTCCTGAAGCCTTTGATCTTAGAGGATTCTTGGGATCAGAAGATAAAGTTCTCCTCCGTTGCACTATTGAATCTCGTTCTTGAAAACGTTGACGCTGAGGACGAATGGGGCGACGACGTGTACGAACTCTGCCACAAAGCTCTCAATTTAATGAAAGAGATCGTCGAGTATAGCGACCACGACGTCTCGGTCTCGCACGCTGCGGATGCATTGTGCGCTGTTTGTGCCTCAGCCACACGGTGATACTATGCATTTCCAATAGTTAGAAATTCACAAGTGGGAAAATTTACAAATTTACCAACGCCGCTTTCTCCTCTTGTATCGAAAGAGGAGAAACTCTTGCTGAATATTCAACGGACGTTGAATTTTTCGGACATGAAACATCGATTCGTTATTCAGATTCTTGAACGATTAGTAATTTCGGCAGTGAAATTAAAATCTCGACATAAATGATCGCGAAACGGAATTGCAAAAACTCGTTTGCTTCAGATTATGCATCGCGGAAGACGATGTCCGAGGAATTTTCGATAAAGTTTCGCAAGTTAAGGCAACTTTGACAAAGGCAATTCGCACAGTGACGATGAATACGTTGGTGTCCTACGTTAAAGTAAGTTGGATCATTTGGATCGGTCTCGTCGATGCGACATATATTTAATTACGCGAGCGTCAAAGGCCCTTTCATTCCCGTCCTGTAGAACACGGAGTCAAACGAAACGGACAGGGTCAAATTCCATAGGAACCTCGTGACTTGTCTGAACAACCTTTACAAGCTGAGCAGTAGCTGCGGCCGCGACAACTTGTCAAACCACTTGACCGCCAACGGATATCTGAAGTACTTCTTGTTGTTAACCACCAGGCTTCCGTAAGTTTCGCGAACAATCCAGGATTCATTCGGAGATGTAATGAAATCATTGTTGGTCGCGTATAGGAGTTCGTGATAAAATTAGCAGACGATCTATGGCTATGTACTTCGAGATCATTTGGCTTTTTATTTCTCCAAATTTCTTTCTGATATTTGTTCAAAATAATTCGCAAAGAAATTTTTTGTCGCTTGTAACAACGAGATACAATGCAGTGGAACGCGATAGCTTTAGAAAATATGCATTGTACGTATGGAACGAAGTTTTTTCTACACAAAGCTTCGTTATCAAAAGGAATAATCCAGGACTATAGGATATCGAATATGTTTCCGAAATTGACTTTCACGGAATGAAAATGGAAAAATTCAGGAAAATACGCAAAAATTCCATACGCGGGAAACCCTATTCATTAAATGGCTGGATTCCAGTATCATAGCTGTTGTATACCTTGAAAAATTCCGGTTTCAATTTTTGTGACCGATATTTCAGAGAAATTTTACGACGCAGCACCTGCGTGCTACTATCGCGGATTATAGCTACATTAGCTGATAAATCCATGCCGATTGGTCAGTCTAGCAATAGGGAAGCGAGCTTCGAGAATCTGATACATCGTGGACTCTTGAATCTTCCGAAGGATCCAGAACGATGGAGAAACGTCGTGGCTCGTGATCAAGGGAACAGCTCGACTGCCTTTATGACACTAACCTATTATCATTTCCACGGGACCAGAGAGTAAGAAATCACTGTTGACCGAAATCGAAATATCTCCTTTGTCATTCTGTGGCGATATTTTAAGCGGATAAAAATCGTAGGACCGACCTGATATGCTTGAAATCGCTGATCGCGAGGACTGTCAATCTTCCTAAATCCGAGCAGACACCGGCGCAAATTTTGAAAGTTTTATGGTTTCTGTTTGCTGTCGCGTTCGTATCGCATCCATCACCGCGCTTGGAACAGGATTACGACAGAGCCGTGAAACGATTGGCAGCTGCGTTGCAATATTCCAAGCTGAACGACTGTTACACTCATCACATAGATCTACTGCATTATTGCCTGAAGTGTCCTGAATTCCCCAAGGATCTACGAAACAGAGCGATGGACCTTTGGCTGGTGGAGTCCGATGGCGACATCCAGCCTTTGTTGCACCTGGATTGCGGACAAGTTGTGCAACATTATCTGCTGGTAAATTATTATTCGCTTTAACGGCCTATGGAAATTGTAAAACAGAGAATGGTGTAACGCAGTTTCTTTTGGGAAATAGCTTGTCATACAAATGGGATACTCGGATAAGATAATCAACCTAGCAATGAAAGGGATTAGAGAGATGGTACGCGTGGATAATGCCAAGGATATTGCGGAGATTGCCTGGCACATGTTGCCTAATCTTCTTTCGTCCTATCAGCCATCGAAAGGTACATGGAGAACATTAGCAGGGTTTTGTAACATATTGTCTTATAGTATCCTATGTATCGCAATGTAATATTCTTTGCTGTTTCGCAAAAACGGAACATGTTCTACCGATATAGCTCTGATCTATGTCAATGATCACCTGAAGAACTGAATTGAATTCTATATCTTTGACAGACGAACAAATTAAAGCCGTGTTAGAATTAACCAACGTCTCCATACCGGACTCACTGTCACCTAGCATCAGGAACCGCTGCGCAGACAGTCTCATAGCCATCATCCTACGTCGGGAAGCGGACTTGAAGCTGAGGACATTGGCAATAATGCAGTCGTACGCGTTGCTGGTCACGTCCGCAACGATCAAGCCGTTTACGAGTACGTATTTCAGAGGGACGGTCGCTCGATAAGTACCGAGAGAAACAAAAGTACAGAAAACAATTCCAGACTCGTTTCTCATTCCTCCTTTTCTCTCCGAAGTCCTGGAAAAGTATTGCACGACGTCGGGCTTCTTGGAGGAGATGCTGGTGCAAGGTTTCTCCACGGATACGCCGGAATTGTCCGCAGTCTGCCTGAAATTCCTCGCATTTATCGTACACTGCCAGGGAATATCGACGATCCAGGTGCGGGAGAGGCGCTTTCGTAAATAATAGATTCGCGTTGTCAAGTATCAGCCGTCTGACGAACGACGTGTTTTCCAGCGTGATAAGCCGGTGACGATTGACGTGCAGAGCTTAGCCGATTTGCTGTTAAATACGAGGAGATCCGTCCACTCGTCGATCAATGGAATGCAACTCACGCTGGAACTTTTAACTCAAAATATTGACGGATTACCTGTCAGGCTGGACGAGATCCATGGCGATCGGCCAGAGGGTGTGATCAATCTCTACGAGACTCTTCTTATCGTGCACGAAAGAGTTAGTGGTGATATTTTAATCTGAATATCGATGGCTCGTTCATTTATAAGGAATTAAATATGATATTTCACTGGAATTCATCTGGATGTTGAAAAACAGAGTGGTATCCCCGGGAAAATATACGATTTAAAGATCTTCTGACGAAATCATGGTCTGGCAATAGAAGTTGAGAATTTTTATGCTACTTCTGTATTAACGTTCGATAATTTTTCTGTTTGCAGAGTGATCCAACGCAGAGAGACGTCGTGTACCAGTGTCTCGAGGGCACCTTAAGATTTTGCCACAAGCACATGGAGTCGCTGATGTATCACATGTGCACTTTGATGAGCAACTACGATATCGTATCTTACATCCTGCAAACGCGCCACGTGACCTGCCACTTTCTGGAGTTCGTTTCTACCTGGCTCCGCTATCGCAGAAGATACTGCACCGACGAAGGTCCGTGGAACGCGAGATCTCTCTGCAAGACACCGTTCGAGGAAACTTTGGATCAGATCAAGAGCTACGCGAACACGGCGAAGGATTCGAGGACCGATGCTGCGTTCAACTGTCTCCTCTACGCGGTGAGTGTTTCAGCCAGCAGAGATATCGTTGCTTTGGTTACAAAATCAGCGTGTTACTTCTAGCTGTCGCAATACAAGGAATAGACACGAGGATCGCGAATGACATAAACGATCCAGGAGGAGCTTTGCTTTAACAGTTTATTCGATCCGTGCAACATTGCTCGATAACATCTTAACATGTCAATACGTGCGTACAAAAAGTAGAAAAAGATCAATCATGGACGAATTTAATTCGTCCGCTTGTTTAACGCGTGCGCTTCAGCGTGATCCTGAAATATAGTGTTTCTGTATCTGTATGTTGTCGTGTCTGCTAAATAGCTGATTGCTCTCCGCGCTCTAAATGCCCCGGCCGGATAGTGTTTCTTAAAAATTGTCATATCTTTATTAATATTATTATTATTATTCATTTTGGGAACTGGTCGGACGCGGTTCGTGCGGTGCGTCTGTCGCTTAGTATTCGTATTCGCCGCCTTTTTGCAGTCGCTGCGGCCGCGCACGGCCCTTGTTTCAGCTTCTTTCTTCATTGGCAGCTTTTTGTTATTTACGCGGTCGTCCATTGCGCTGCATGAAGCACCCCTTGAAAGAGTTTAATCTCACGTCGATCTCACCTTCTTCTAGCTGCAACCAAACGCTCGCTGTTAAACTGTTTGGACATTTGTTTGGGAATTACGAGCAGATAAGCTAAACAAAGGTTCTTGTCTAAGTGTCTAGGATTTAGTTGGTCTTTAGCGAGATATATCGCTAGGTGATATACCTTCGCGAGTGTTACGTTCATTCGACTGTTAAGTTTAAGCACAGATTTTCTAGCGGGAAAGAAAATAGAAAAATAGCTTTAAATAACGTTGACACATTTTTGTTAGTTTTCGTTAGTTTAACCACTTGCGCTACAAAGACGTGCCACGCACGTCGAGATGCTTTTGTTCCAAAGCCGCCAGCGACGTGTATACCACGTCGATAGGCATTTGTCGAAGAAACAAAAACGACGTGTCCGTCACGTCGGCTAACAGTTAGCTCTGAGACGCGGTGCGACGTCAATGTAACGCCTCACTGCATATTATATTATTATATTATATTATACATGTTTTATTGTAGAGCAACCGAAAGTTAAATCGTAGCGCAGGTGGTTAATTGCGAATAATACACTGGTTGAAATAAAAATTTTTGCTCTTTTTGCAATATCATAGATACTTAGACGATACGTTGCAGGGTTAACTAGTGGCTAATTTCGATTGGAAGGAATAGGATTACCTGATCGAACAAGTAGATTTCTTTGTAACAGGACGGTGACACGCATTCTCGAATGCATCTGGTTTTGGCAATGTCGCTCCTTTCTGGCGGCAGCATCTTGCAAGCGCCGCTGTCCTCGCAAGCTTGCTCGAATTGCCTGAAGAGAAGCTCCTGCGAGGAACATGGTGTTACAGAAAAGTTGGGGAGAAAATTGAAATGTGATTGATTCGAGGATTCGATCGTTACAAAGCCGAAGGCAGCCTGTTGGCAGGCGTTGGAAAATATAGCCGACTGTGCTTCTCGCGCACAATAACCGGATAAAATTGAGCGTAACAATTGGCTCGTGCGTGTTCAAAGATTAACCTCAATTAGTGCTCGTATGAGTTCTATTATTGGTGCCGTTGGCGCGTTTAATTTTCTCTGAAGATAGCTCCCTTTCTCTCTGTGCAGACAATTCATTGATATGAAACTCGCATTATTTTTCTTTACTTTCTAAAGCAGATGATAAACAAGCAAATCGAACATCGAATATCTCTGTCAAAGATAATCTTCTCTGTGGAAGCACACCTGATTATAATACCAGTTTCTCGACACACCGTTGGTATATACATATCAGCTAGTGACAGCACCGAAGTACGCCCCGAGCACCTTGACTGTCTTCGGGTTAATGCCAAATCGATTTTACCCCCATGGCGAAATCGCGGAATCACCCGTCTCGTTACGTCCCCCATGGGGATGCTGGGTCGACGCGAAGTAATCCTCCTCGAGTATCACGCATCACTGGCAGGATATCACAGAGATCTCTTGAAAATTCCAAGTCGTGGAACCCGACACAATTCCCCCAGCTATCGTCCCCATCGAACTATCCAACAATCACAACCATCGGAAGCAGGAAGGATACAAAAAGAAAAAGAAAAAGAAAAAGAAACGAACTTGGTTTAACATTTTTCCAACAAACAAAGATACTACGATACCACTAAATTTTTCTGCAACTTTTCTAAGGTAATCACCGCATGTCCTCTGCCAATGTGGAATTTAATACCGTTGCCAGATCAGGCCGGTGTGGCAAGAAGCGCCGCCCTCAAAACAAGCCATCGCTCGACCATAACCTGTACCAGCGTGGAAACGCGTTCCTCGTGCGGATTCTCGCCAAACGTTTCGGACGACTTACATTCTTGGTAGTCTCCTTGTATGGATACTCTGGGAAGGTGAAGGTCTTCGCGATGGTGCTCGGCTCTTCCTTCAGCTGTCCGACGACGAGGATCAGGCCGATCGCGAACGCCACCTCCGGCGCCATGTTGAGCAGCCGGCTACGATCAATATGATGGGGTGGCGCTCGCTTACGCTCCTTTCCAACTCTCTTCTCGTTTTCCCTCCACGCCCGTAAAAACGCCGGGATGGACAGGGAGGATTCGCGCGATCAACCTGTCGATCCCCTTTGGCTGTTCGCCCCGTGAAATTGACTTTTTAAGAACCCAAGCCCACCCGCCGGGGGGTGGCCAGCCTTTGGCGTCGGCCTTTCATCCGGTGCCAACGTGCAACTCTTCTTTCGATTCCATTTGTGGGCTCGGGATGACGGACAGGTTGAATGAATTTCATGCTAGTCGTCCAAGTTATCGAACTTTTATTAAGAGCCCGCTTTTTTCTCTTCGGTAATAGTCTGGGCGAAGGAACGGGTTTACGGATTGCCGATTACGGGTTATTGAAAGGCATCGATATCGGTTTTAGAACGTGACGGCCGGTTGACCACGAAGAAGTTTAGGCCTGTGATAGATTAAAGGTTAGTTCGTGATACACTTGGGCGGAAATAATGGGTGGTTTAATTATCGAAAAATGAAGTTTAAACATAGACCTTTAAAAATACAATCCTTTTAATACCGAAACTAGCAACCTCTAATGTCTACGTAGATAAAATAATATTCGTCTCTTATTTTTATTACTAACTACGCCATACAAACTATTTATGATTAACATAGACTCTCTATACCCTCTTTTACTAATTTTTATATACGATGCAAATAGCGTACGAAAGAAAGACACCATACACATACTACAGTTAATCGCTAAATCGCGGTATTTATTTCATATATCCTCAATTATGCAGGAGCAATAATTAAACTCGCGTATCGAAATAAATACGTGCATATAATTATATTTCTCACGAAATATCAGCAATTTTGCGAAAACACCAAAAAGCCTGGTCCTAGTATTAACACTATGTTTATGGACACTATCTGTACACCTATTTCTAAGGACACCTGTCAAACTGACAGGTAAAGGAAACCACGTGCCTTTTTTTAACGATTAGTTTAATATAAAAACAATTATATATTATATTAACTAAATCTGTTACCATCGTATAATTGGAGCAACCCTTCTGTGAAATTCACGGGTTCCGTAAATCTAGTGTTAAACGCTCTTCGTTCCACAATTACTCTCTTCGATTCGCTCGTCATTCTCAAGATCATCGTTGCTGGTCATCGATAAGAAATAGCGAAATTTTGTCCGGTATACGAGCCAAAAATTACGCTGGATTCTCTGGAAAGAAGCGGCACGTCGGAGCTGCTTTGAACGCGAAGGCAGCATGGAATGAAGGAGAAGGAAGCGAAGACGGATCACGGAAACGTCCGCGACTGGATGGAGAGGAAATACACGCGCGAATTCATCGATAAATCCGCGGGCCGGCGTCGCGGCTGGGCTATTTTGCATAAAACGTAACGGAGTGTGTATGCAGCGAGGCGCGATGGCATTTATCGTCGCGACGCATGCGAGCGAACCAGACGACGGTTTTTGTTCGGCTAGGCGTTGCGCACCACCAGCTCCACGTGCACCGGCCACCAACCCCCGTCGACCATTAAATCGAGATTTCGCCGGTGATTAGCGGCAGTTTGCCTCGCCTCGCTGCGCCCGCCAGTCGATAGATTTTCCCAATAATTTTCCGTCAGTTCGAGGAATTTCGACGAGCCGAGGAAACGCTGCCGACCGCCTACATTACGGCCCCTTCTTCCGGATTTCGAGGCGATGGAATTCCAAGTGGCTTCGTTATACCGTTTTTTCCTCCCCCCGTTAGAGCATCACGGCATTTTATCCGATCTCTGGATCGTCAAATTTTAGGCGATTTCTCGGTCGACCGTGGAAAATCTGAGACAAGATTTTAGGATTTTCTGGAAGAATCGGAGTGGTAGCAGAGACACGCGTGTAATGGAAAAATAGGATAAAATTTAAAAATCAAGTTTGATATCGAGGATGGAGATGTAAATAATGGTCATCGATCGAAGGTTCGAGAGTATTATATATTATCCTCGAGACCAATGGTATTTGTCGATTAATTTATACACCTTGCAAACAACCTGTTACGCGATCTGTTAGATTAGAATTAATTACTCCGCGAGTATCATTAATCACCGTGGCGCGGGTGTCTCGATTGAAAGGAGGAAAAACGGGCACGTACGAGGTGGAATCAAACGCCGAGCCGCGATTCCCGAAATCGAAGCATTCTACGTGGCATTAGGCGTGCATTACCGATTATTCAGCCTGTCAGGGGAAAATGAAATTTCCCCTGTGCCGCAACGGCGATTTAAAAATCCATTGTAACAACAGGACGATTAATGAAACTGTTGGCGAGGAAGAGCGAATTTCAAGCACGGAATCCTCCATTTTGGTTCGAGTTAAAATTTTCATCCGCATTCGTTCGCGTAGCCAGACGTTCCAGCTAATTAAACAGCAGTGATCCTGGATCAGGCGGAATCGCATGTGTTCCGCTCGTGAAAATCGCAAACGAGAACTTTTCCCGTGCCGCAGGTAGGAGAGGAACGGGCAGAAGTACAGCGAGAGAAAGAGAGAGAGAGAAGAGAGGAGAAGAAAAGAGAAAGAGACGAAGAGAGAGAGAGAGAGAGAGAGATGATTCGGCACGAACGTCGGTTGAAAAAAGCCGAAATCTCGGCGGCTTTTTAATTACATACTAGCCCCTCCCCCGTTCAAACGCGCACAGCAAACCGATGCATGATGTACGATGTATGTACGCAGCGTTTCCGATTAAATCGCGGTGCTGCTCGCGAAATTCCGTTGATTTATCGGCGCCGGAGTCGCGGACGAGCGCCGCGGAGCTATACTTCAATGAGCATTTAGCCTCGGATCGTAACGCAGCCTGCGTTCCTTTGTGCTATATGCAGTGTTTTTCCTCCTTGGCTCTCCCGGGGAGGGGTTAAAATGATTTGTGTGCAGATGCCGATGTTTCGTAGACGATAACGTTGCGCTACGCGTCGTAATTCGCGAACGATGTGAGTTATCGGGGCTACGCGCGCCGTTGCGTTCCCTCGAAAATATCGAGTTCTATGATCCGTTAGATATCGAAGTTTTGATCTATACACCGACGTGGTGGTGAAGTTTCATTGCGATATAAAATAGTTTGCGATGTCGGAGGTTCTCCATGCCGGTAATACGTCTCCTCGTATCTCTGAATGCGGAATTCGCAGCGTGCCCAGTGCCGTACGCGTTTCACCTGGCCGGAGAAAAATTTGCCACCATCGCGGCGCCGCTATATTTTCTCGCGGATCGACACCGATATATTTAGTCGTGCTACAAAGCAACGCGTTTTTTATTTTTGTTACGCACCCCGCACCCCTAAAACCCAAAACCCGTATATACCTTTGCGCTCTCGCCCCGTTCGGGCTACATATCCACCCGCAGCGATATACGCGAATAAACAGCCGAACCATCCGCGTTTGTTATTGCGTTTACAGTGTCGACAAAGAGTTAACCGCTCAAAGCCGAAGGTTTAACGATGGACGCTGAATTTACGGCTAACGAATTGCGTAATTTCGTCCTCGCACTCCCCCGCGCCGATGTTTAAAATCGGCCATGTCGAAGCACATACGCCGAACCGGCACGCATTCCGCCTCGCGTGACAACTATGCCTGACGTTTCCTCGTTCGCCCGTGAAATAATTTTCCCGCCCAGCCCGGCCAAATCGTTGTAATTACCGGCCTCGTCCCGGCCACGTAAAAATCATTCGACATCAATTTTCCCATCCCGCCCGCGATCGTCGAAGGGATTAACCAGCCCAACCCGATCCTCCATCCGTCAAAATACCAAACCCGGGGTGGGCACCAGGTGCCCGGTAGCCGGGCTACGCTTATCCGAATATGCCGATCAAATTTTAACGATTAGCCAATTCTAACGATTAATTCGACGATCGTTTAATCGAAACTCGCTCCACCGATATATTATTTAACGCTAATCCACTTCTCGCGGTGGATGGAAAACAGAGGTGGAAGTTGATTTAATTAGAGGACAATTAAGCGGCGAATGCCGGGCTAGTTGATCTAATTGCAACTATTAAGGGAATTGTCCATGCCGAGAGAGGATTCCCTCGGTTATCCCGACGAGTCGTTGGATTTTTCACCGCCATTGTTATTCTCCCTTGCTCCTATCTCGACAGACAAATTTCCTTTCTTTCTCGCCTTGGAGAACCGACACCGCCAGCAGGATGGACGAATGGGGGCCAGAGAGACGAGGTTGAAAGGTCGTCGGGTTGTTCCACGACGACGATCGCAATTGCAAATTGCAATTACATCAACGACCAACTCGCAGGTCTGTGCGTCACGCAGCGTCGATTTTAACGTTAAAGTTATTATCGTTCGATCGCGGAGGACGATAGCGATAGCATCGGTATGAATTATTCACCACTTTTCGTTCCAGCTACTATTTCCTGATTGCTCCGCAAACACCGCTGCCTTTCGCGAATATTGAAATATGCATCGTAATTCAGCGGCATGGAAAGCCGAGTTTTTATCGCGCTCGTCGATCGAGAGTCACTCTTCTGCACTTTCGGGGACCGTAGTATAATCTCCAGCTTCGAGAGTCGCGTCTCGTGTGTCTTCGATATTCACGGAGATCCTTCTTTTTACGTTTGTCGAGGCCGATAGCTCTCCATACATTTTTCGTACACACCGACTTCGCCTGCCAATTTTTTGCTATTATTTTAATACGATATTTACCAAGTTATTGCCGATCTCTTCGGGTTTTTATTAAAAATAGTCGAATTTTACAGACAGAAATAGTAATATTGTTTGGAAGGACTCTAGCAAGGTATTAAAAGCGGTATTGGGTTCCGCTTAAGCGTTTAGGGTAACATCTGCAGTGCGTGTGGACGAATGGGTGAGATAGGTATGACTGGGTCGAGTACAAGCAATGAACGAAAGTCTAGGAACGAAATTTAGGAACGAAAGTCTAGTGTCTGAAGTGCCTGGTCCACCAAAGGCGAAGAGAGCTTGTGTATGAAAAGAGAGAGGGTTA